TTGCCAAGGTGTCGAAAATCAGATGGGCTGGTCACGTAATGAGATTTAAAGACGACCGCTGGACTAGAGCTGTTACCGACTGGATTCCACGGGATGTCAAAAGACCGCGTGGCCGCCCACCTACCAGATGGTCAGACTTCTTCGTCAAGATCATGAACGATCGGTTTGGGGCCCTTCATGTTCCCGGAGCGAACAGATGCCATTGGACTACAGTAGCACGCGACAGGGACAAATGTAGACGTTACTGGCGCCCGCTCGAGCAAATCCACGACTATCGGGAAGTTAAGTGATTAAGTGATCACTGTAGAACAGAAAAGTAAATATTGATATCCTTGTCTTATAGATGAGGAAAAGTGAGGTTGGTTGCCATGGCTTATGTTTTGTTGATAACTTCTGAATCAGAATCCTGACCCAGATCTGGCTTATTTTAAAGCTTGCTCATAGCAGTCAATCTTCTACCATCCGGGATGAAAAAGAGACCATTACAAATGGAACTTTAACCTGTTCTTAAATATAGATCTTCATTTCATCAGTAAAGTAGTTGCCTACAGTAGAACTTTGGTTTTTAGGGTTTTTTTTTTTATTATAGTAGAACATCTTAATCATAGTTCTGTAGTTCCCTTTAATTAGCCCCTAGATCCACTTTAGACTTTTAGGGCTACAGATTAGTAAGGAATTATGTTTGAAATTTGTAATAGATAATGTCCAAAGTGAAATATTAATAGGAAATTCTTTATGTGTGTATTTATATATGTGACATATAGCACAGTGGTAGGGCATTTGCCTTGCATGTGTCCCACCCGGCTTAGCCGGGTTCGATTCCTCCGTCCCTCTCGGAGAGCCTGGCAAGCTACCAAGAGTATCTCGCCTATACGGCAAAGCCTGGCAAGTTACCTGTGATGTATTCGATATGCCAAGCACAGTAACAGAAGCCTCACAATGGAGACATTACTGGGCCCGCTCTAGCAAATCTATGAACAACAGAAGGACAGTGCTACAGTGCTATAGATAGATAGATAGATAGATAGATAGATAGATAGATAGATATCACCAGTCTGTGCTAATTCCCCAAACACATATTAAAGAGCTGTTGAATGTAAACTGCTAGCATCCGACAAACCTTGTAGCTGTCTAGCCCTTGTAGTTCTGAGGAACTGACTGCATTTCTCTGCACCATCACAGAGCACCTGGGACTTGGTCAAGGGGTCAAATAAGAAGTCTAGCCCACAAAGTTACTGAGAACCTAGAAGCAGTGTACTTGCCTTGGGTGAGGTATTGGAACTGAGTTGGCTTGTCCAGGAGGGGAGATGGCTCTGGCGGAGGCCTGGCCATGCGTGGCTCGGGAGAGGGGTGTGGGGTAGACTCAGATCTGGACAGATGGCAAACATCACAAAGGCCACTTAAAGTGTCAGCTGGTTCTCTACGCCAGTGTCCTACAAAATAAGAACAGTGCAACACGGCTTTTGGTTTTTATTGTTACTTATTTAAAGGAGACTTTGGAAAATATAACTAACACATTGAATATGACTGTTTATTATTTTGAAGAGAGAGTGTATTTGAGTGGAACAATTTTTGTAAAGATAATAGTTGCTAATGGCATATTTAGTGGACACCGTTAGAAAGTTTTATACAGACTGATCTGAGAGACTAATCTCAGAATTGATCAATTTTGTACAAATTGATCTCCGTAAGTATTGTTATCATATGCTCCTAGCTTGTGAGGTGATAAGGGCTCCCAGTTATGTGACTTTTTCACAAATAGTAAGCACTTGGTCCAGGTTCGGACAGACTGACTCTGGAATCTGAAACCTGTATTCCTTACCTGGTATTTGACATACAATGTTAATATAGTGCAGCAGTGAAAATTGTGATGGCACAAGGGAAAGGACTTAAGTTTAAGTTTGTGACATTCTGCTCTAGGGAAAAGAATCCTTGAAGCTTTCAACATGGCTTTATTTTTATTGTAAGTTTTATAAACATTGAAATTGTTACTTTTATTTGATATAAATGGAAAATGTGATGTTTAGAATGCATTGTTAAGTTAAAAGAGTAAATTTAGGAACACCAGGTAGTAATTACAGAAGTTCAGTTTTGGAGATAGCATTTGAATCAGAATTTTTTTTTAAATGGAAGATGGAGGTAGAGGAACTAGGATATGAACATTATATTGGATAAGTTAAGCTAAAAAGAAATTGTGTGGGCAGTTTGTAAGAGGCAGAAGGATAAGTGTTTTGCTTCCTACATGAAGAGTAATGCTATTAGCAAATAGAAAATTAAGAAAGAAATTTATGTGGTAAGTGAATTTCATTATAAAAATTCAAAATGTAAGTGAGCAGTTAGTTATGAAAGCTTAGTATAGTGGTCAGTGCTGGGATACAGTTTTTCACTTATACAGATTGCTGTTACATTAGGCACATGAGCACATTTTATATACATAATAATCTAGGCCACAATTTGTAAGCTGTTTCTTACAAATATTTCTTCAGCCAAATAATTCAGTTTGACAAAGAGGCAACATCAAAATTAAGTATGTAAGGGCCGGAGCGGTAGCACAGCGGGTATGGCATTTGCCTTGCACGTGGCTGACCCGGATTCGATTCCCTACATCCCATATGGTCCCCCGAACACCGCCAGAAGTAATTCCTGAGTGAAGATCCAGGAGTAACACCTGTCCATTGCCAGGTGTGACCCAAAACGCAAAAAAAATTTTTAAAAAAACCTAAGCATGTAAACAGTGCCCTCTCCCCCATTTTTTTAACTCACAAACTACTTAACAAAATAAAAATACAAGTAGAAGGGCCATATTTTCCAAAGGGCCATATTTTCCAAATCCGTATTTTCCATATTTTCCAACTTATCAGTTGACTGTCAACCGATGCAAATCCTTGATATCAGTTTATTGTTTTGGGAATATAAATTGTCTTCTATGCTGAAATTTGGAGATAATTGCATTGTTAATTTCTTTCCCCAAAAGTTCAGAATTGTTATGTTATCTTTCTGAGCATGATTTTACTGAGTGGAATGTTTTAAACATGATTTTTCTTACAAATAGATATGTTAAACATTTCTACAAGCTTGGGACTAGAAAAGTAGTAGAGACATCAGGTAAAGCACTTTGCATCCTGCCAACACTTGGATTCCTGACACTGGTGTGGTCTCCAGCACTGCCAGGATGGTCCCCCGAGCACAGAGCCAGGATGGTTCCAGCACAGCCATGTGTGGTCCAACCCTGTCAGCACAGAGCCAGGAGTAAGCCCTGAGCACAGCTGGGTGTGGCCGCCTCCCCTTAATTTACCATGCAACAAATAGAGAAATCATAGCTAATAGTTAAAGAAATGTCACAGTTGAAGTTGGTAATTTACATTTGATTTTGAGAAACTATAGTCACGAAATGTAACTCATTCATTTTATTAAAAATGTTTTCCTGTGTGTGAGGCTAGAGCAGTAGCAGTACATGGCTGACCTGAGTTAGAGCCCTGGCACCCCCTGTGGTCCCCTGAACTTCGCCAGGAGTGATCCTCAAGCCAGAAGTGAGCTAGAAGTAAGCCTTGACCTCCGAGTGTGACCCCCTCTACCCAGATTCATATTGCCTGTGTCAAAATTTTGACATGAATGCAGATATATGATGAACTTCCATCGTTCTTCAGGTCATGGAGCACTGATAATAAGCAGGTTGGGCATCTCCCTTAGTGAAGCAGCACCTTCCTTGTGCCTTGAGGGGGCTGTGTCACCTGGAACCCTGCAGTTTTTTACTTGATCTAAATTGAAGTTGACTTTATTTTTTTTTTTAAATTCCTCTGACAGTCAAATCACAGCTTGTGCTGCTGCTTTGTTGATAGCAGCTTGACCCTGGGTTCCTATGCCTCGGAAGGACGAAACATTTTGTCTCGAGATCACAAATAAAACATTCAGGAAAGGAAGTAGAAACTTCTCTTTCAAAAACATAAACTGAGTTTTATTTGCCATCCCAAAATGCAGTGTTCAAAGGGAAATCTTTCAGAGAATTCTTAAGCAGAATTGTTGATCTAGTTGAAGGGTCTTTTAAAACTTATTTTCAGCATTGATAAGTAAGTAATATGCTAGTCTTTGGTATGACTAGTTCCTGAAGACTAACAGTAGTTAAATGTAACCAAATTTGCTGAAGTATGACCAAAAGTAACTTATTTTTTGAGATTCTCCATTAGCCTTACTTACCATAGGCCTTTTGGTTCCTATCCTAGGTATTTTCCTGAATTGAGGTTTACTTTGTGTTTGTAAATTCCTACATGATGACTTTATTAATTTTGTAGTGTTTTTTGTTCTGGGCTGGAGCAGTAGCACAGTGGTAGGGCGTTTGCCTTGCTCACAGCCAGCCCGGCCGAGCCGGATTCGATTCTTCCGCCCCTCTCGGAGAGCCTGGCAAGCTACTCGTGATGTATTCGATATGCCAAACACAGTAACAACAAGTCTCAAAATGGAGACGTTACTAGTCCCGCTCGAGCAAATCGATGAACAACGGGAAGACAGTGTTTGACAGTTTGTTTGACAGTGTTTTTGTTCTTAAGAATTTGAATCCACTTCCGTTTGTAGAAAAACAAGGAAAAAATATTTAGGTTTTTAAAAACATGGTAATAGTGGAAATCCAATGTTCTATATCAGATCTGTCATTAGTTATCAATGTATATTTAAATATATTTTAGTTCAAATAAGTAGTTTGTGGTTTACTATGGGTAGTATTTATGATTACCAAATTATGATTCATTTTAATGCAGCAGTATGTCTAAAATAAGGAGAACTTATATTGAGGCATCATGCAGTTGTTTAGTGAAGAAAATAATAAATTGATATAGTCCATAAATTACCATGTTTTATATGTTTGAAAAGCTATATTCTTCTGAATATTTTTGTGTTTTAAAAATATTCTAAACATTATGTAGGAACTTGGTAGCTGATTAAAATTTCAGGTGATGAGTGAATGAGCACTTAATGACGGCCTGTTTTGTTTCTGTTCTCAATTGCAGTTCAGAATGTAGTGATGGCGAGTGGTCTACTTCTTTGCCTCATAGATTTTCTGGTACAGAAAAAGATCAGTCCTCAAGTGATGAGAGCTGGGAGACTCTGCCTGGAAAGGATGAGAATGAACCTGAGTTACAGAGTGAGAGCAGTGGTCCTGAGGAGGAAAACCAGGGGTTATCGCTTCAGGAGGGGTGAGTTGAATCGTGTTCTTTGTTCTTTCTAAATGTTGTGTATGAACTGTATGCAAGGGGCTGGAATGATAACATAGTGGGCAGTATGTTTGCCTTGCATGTGATTCAATCCCTGGCATCCCATGTGGTTGCCCCATGTACCACTAGGAGTAATTCCTGAGTGCAGAGCCAGGAGCAACCCCTGAGCAAAGCCAGGTATGTCCCCAAACTCAAAAAGAAAAAAGAACAGTATACATTACATTAGAATGTAGGGCATGCTATTAACTGCATTTACAAGCACTATATCAGACCCGCAGACTCTTCAGATTTTGTTTTCTTTTGGGGCCACACCCAGCTGTGCTCAGGATTTATTCCTGGCTGTGTGCTCAGAGGTCAATCCTGGCAGGTCTGAGGGAAATGAAGTGGTCTGTGAAGTGCTAGGGGTTGACCTAGCTTAGCCATATTTAAGGCAAGTACCCTTCTTGCTATATGATTTCTCTGGCCCGCTTCAGGTATTTTTATTATGTTTTTGGTATTTTGTAAGAAATTGAAAACGCAGGTAATTTCTGTGCATTTTGTTATGATATTTTAAACATTTTGATTTTGCTTTGTTAAAGAAAACATGAGCATTGAAAATATTAACTTAGTGGAGTTAGGTATGCAGAAATTAGAGCTGCATTTCTCTATGACTTGGGTATCAATATGGCAAAGGAGAAGGGAAAACTCCTTAGTGGCAAGTAGCGATCATTCACAGGAATAGTGGGAAAAGTGAACAGCTTTAGTATTACTGTCTAGTTACTTGGCTGGTACCTCCAGTGTTGCTGTTAAACATCTTTGCTTTCCTAACTTTAACGGGAAAGCCCTATTTGTCAGACTTAAGACTGTGAGAGGCCAGATAGTAGACACGTGGGGTTTTGTATGCAGTTACTCAGCTCTGTTGGTGTAGCCATGGGCTGAATGCTAGTAAGTGGGTGTGGCGCTCTCAGCACAGCTTGGTTTAGCAGGAAGAGGTGGCAGCCCGCAGAGAGAAGCCACACAGCACCACTTTCCCACGCCTTACCTGTATAACTGGGCATTGTCTCCAGCAAGGGCTCAGACCCTTAGAGCCATCTCATAAATAGGCCACTTAAACGGAAAACACCACTGAAGAGCCTGAGTGAACACACGGCAGGAGGGACACTTGCCTTGCTTGGCTCAGCCAGAAGCAAGTCCCAAGCACCTCCCGTGCGACCCAGCGCTCCTCACCCAAAACAGAACCCCTTAAATATACTTTGTTTCCATTTCATAGATCTCTTACAGAAAGTCTGTTGAACTTTGTTCCCATCTTTGTAATAAGAATGGATGATAATGTCTTTCAATATTGAACTCATGACCATGAGAAAGATTGTGTTTTTACATTTCATAATTTTCAGCTATCCTTGCTTCTTGAGATGAGGCCAATATTACATTCTTAGGCTTTGTTACTGTTTTAATGAGCTACTGGATTCTGTTTGTTAATATTTTACAATGAATTTTTATATTGAGATACATAAATACAGTGACTCTATTATAGTCTGGCACTTGTGTTGCTAATAGACCATGCCTTTTAAAAAATGTTTGTTCTTGCTTGTTTGAATAGCGTATTTTTAAATGGTTTATATCTTTAGGGACTTTAGATAGATTATTCCTCTAAAGGCTGTTTTTGCTTATGAAAATCTCTAGGCTTACTGTTTTATTTTCAGGCAAGTGTATCCTTTGATTACTTTTCCCTATGTTAATTAGTTCTAATTTTTATCTTTATTGGGATCTATTTTGGTAAATTTTTCTGAGGGAAAAATTCAAACTTAGATTCTAAGTAGAGAGCCAAAAGCTAATATAGGCGTCTCTAAGGCACTTGCATATGGCCAAGACTGATTGGATCCCCTGCAATTATGGAGATTCCTCTGAGCAGTGCCAGGAATTACCCCATCACACAGTCAGGAGTGGTCTGAGCACCACTGGTTTATCTCAGAAGCAAACAGGAAAAAGAGGACCTCAGTGGGTAGTGCATTTGCTTGCATGAGACTAACCTGAGTTGATTTGATCTCCACCACCACAAATGGATTCTTAAGGACCTCCAGGAGCACAAATGGGTGTCACCCAAAAAACAAAGAAGAAAAAGAAAAGTGATTGTTACTAGAGTTGAGTAATTAGACTTGAACTGAGTAAATAGATTGAATTGAGTATTATTATTAATAATAGGCTGAAGAGTGCTGGAATCAAGGAAAATGAAGAATCCATCTGGATTGGATTTTTGGTCTCTGTGTCTGGTAAATGTTAGTGCCATGGAGAAGGGGAAAGGACTAAGAATTAGGAACACTTTAGTGACGTTTTCCATGCCAGCTAAAAAAATAAGTTGTAAATAAGCACTTGGACATTTGGATTTTGAATTTAAGGGAAATACCCAAGGTTATTATAAATAGGGATAAACAAGAATAAAAATATTTGCAACTTCTATGTTGAATAAAAATTTTTGCAGCATATTAAGAATAGGATAAATAAAAATATACATACTTGAAACTCATAAGCTATTTGAGTAAAAAGTCTGTTTTTAATTGCTCAAAGGTAACAAATTAAATTCATATGAGGAGGGGGTATGGTGCCACCAACAAGTCAACTTGTACCTGAAGGGCAAGTGCATCAGCAGCCTGATGGTGCCTTCAGGCTTCCTGATACCGCAAAATTGCCACTGTGCCTTTGGCCAGACCCCAACCACTTGGAACCAAGTTTACCAAGAAGTTAAACGTCCAAAAATTAGATATGTGGGAGCCATACCCACAAACCACCTCCAACTCAGCTATACCAGCTCACTCAGAGTTGGGATGGGCTACCTCCCCCACTTCCCAACCACTTCCCAATACATATGGAAGCACTGGCAGTCACCCCCAATTCCAGCACCTCCCTGTAAGCTCTACCATCGACCTTGCCCCAGAGACCCCTAAATAAATCTCGAAAGAGACCAAAAGCCACAGTTAAGCTTGGCCCATACATGGCTGAACAGACTGCAGTAAAATGAAGAGGACGGGTTGGCTTGTGCCCACCCAAGCAGAGCCCCTGGCAGCCGCTTGCTTCCACAATCCAAAATTGCCACCATATCCCAAGCCTGACTCCCTGTCTCAGGATTGACCTCACCAAGATATAATCTGCTGAAAATTTTTAATGTGGATCTTAGTGTACCAACAGCTGTGGCCCAGAGAAACAGGCAAGTCCCAGAAGATACCACAGCACCGGAGATCTCTCCGGGCCCCATACCAAGCCAGTATCACCCGGGCATCCCAGATGGAGCAGGTGCAGTCTCCCGCCTACTCCATATGGAATCCCGGTGACCAAGAGCTTCCACAAGCAAGGCCAAGGTATGCGGATTCAGGACTAAATCTCCAGGCCGCATGGCAGCAGAGGATCTGGGCTGTCCCTCCCTGGGCCCCCACTTGCCCAGAGACTGGCCATCAGGCCCACAGTTTGCCTCTGGACGTCATCTTAGCGCACCAACAGCCCTGGCCCGGCGACTCCCAGTTGAATCCCAAAGTGGATTAGTGCCATACAGAGATGTATGAAACCCAACCGTTTACAATCTAGAAATTTACATAGGCTTGAATGGTGGTCGGAAAATTTGAGCAAAACTTAACGCCCAAAATTAGAGAGAGGATATAGGGAAAATTGTCTGTCATAGAGGCAGGGTGAAGATGGAAGCGGGGGGAGATACTTGGGACATTGGTGATGGAAAATGTGCACTGGTGGAGGGATGGGTGTTCTATCTTCGTATGACTGAATCTCAAACATGAAAGCTTCGTAGCCCTATCTCACAGTAATATAATAAAATAAAAAAGTAATGTGGAGTTCATGCCCAATTCAATCAGCTTAATCAGTGGCTGAATAAATAGTAGTACTTGTACATTAATTAAAAAATAAATAAATTTGTATAAGGACATTTCAAGGATAACTGCTACTAGACTATAGTAGCACTGTATCACTGTCCTCCCGTTGTTCATTGATTTACTCGAGTGGGCACCAGTAATGTCTTCGTTGTGAGATTTGTTACTATTTTTGGCATATTGGATATGCCATGGGGAGCTTGCCAGGCTCTGCTGTGTGGGCAGGATAATCTCGGTAGCTTGCTGGGCTCTCCGAGAGGGATGGAGGAATTGAACCCAGGTCGGCCATGTGCAAGGCAAACACCCTACCCGCGAGTGTACATTCTGAAAACCTGATGCGTGGAGTAGGACAAAAGGGTGGCGATATAAGAGAAGTAAAGGCATTGAAAAGCATCTTTGAAAATCAACTCAAATTCAATGAATGAATAAAAGGCATGTAAGAGGTAGAGATGAAAAGCACAAGTTATAGGATGAAATCCTATAATGACTAAATATAATAAATAACGGGATTCAGTGTTACTTATTTAAAAGAAATTTATTTTTATTATAAAGACAAGAAAAGAGAAAAACAAACTGTAGGAATTGTTCATTTATCTTTTTTTTTTCCATTCCATTATCTTCTATTTTATTTAACTTTTTTTTAAATTTTTTTTTATTAGTGAAACACCATGAGGTACAGTTGTAGATTTACAGTTTTTTGTGCTTGGGTTTGATTATACAATGATCAGATACCCATCCCTCCACCAGTGCCCATTTTCCACCACCATGGATAATATCCCCCCCACCCCCAGGACCTGTACAAAGAAAACTACAAAACGCTACTTCAAGAAATAAAAGAGGACATGAGGAAATGGAAAGATATCCCCTGCTCATGTGTCGGGAGATATCTTTTTTTTGACCCATTGTCAAAATGGCAATACTACCGAAAGCATTGTATAAATTCAATGCAATCCCTATAAGGATACCCACGATATTCTTCAAAGAAATGGAGCAAACACTCCTGAAATTTATATGGAACAATAAGCCCCCACGAATAGCTAAAGCAATTCTTGGGAAAAAGAAAATGGGAGGAATCAACCTCCCGAACTTCAAACTGTACTACAAAGCAGTAATAATTAAAACAGCATGGTA